CAGTGGGGTCATACAAACAGGATACTCAGTGGAGTCATACAAACAGGATACTCAGTGGAGTCCTACAAACAGGATACTCAGTGGAGTCATACAAACAGGATACTCAGTGGAGTCATACAAACAGGATACTCAGTAGAGTCAAACAAACAGGATACTCAGTGGAGTCCTACAAAAAGGATACTCAGTGGAGTCCTACAAAAAGGATACTCAGTGGGGTCATACAAACAGGATACTCAGTGGAGTCATACGAACATGATACTCAGTGGAGTCATATAAACAGGATACTCAGTGGAGTCCTACAAACAGGATACTCAGCGGAGTCCTACAAATAGGACACTCAGTGGAGTCAAAGAAACAGGATACTCAGTGGAGTCCTATAAACAGGATACACAGTGGAGTCATACAAACAGGATACTCAGTAGAGTCAAACAAACAGGATACTCAGTGGAGTCCTACAAAAAGGACACTCAGTGGGGTCATACAAACAGGATACTCAGTGGAGTCATACACACAGGATACTCAGTAGAGTCAAACAAACAGGATACTTAGTGGAGTCATACAAACAGGATACTCATTGGAGTCCTACAAACAGGACACTCTGTGGGACCATTATAATGAATTTTAAATAATCTTTAATCTGCGTTAATAACGTTGTGATAATTTTACATGTTATCTTTTTTATTGTTTTTCATTATCCTATTTCTGATTAACATGTTTATTAATATATCAATAACCAAAATATTGTTTAATTATATTACCTCATACAATAGCGGCATTGTAAAATAACAAATCATATCACTTCAGATAATATATTTTATTATAAAATGCTTAAAAATTAATTTTAACTTTGACGCAAAGCTAAATATTTGTTATCATGCATTTTTCAATTTTAATTATCAATTAACGCAAGCATCAATAAATCATCATATTTTTCAATGCTATTTTCAGATTGTTTCAATTAATGCATCGTACCTTAAAATTTGCAATTTGATAAAAAGAATTCAAATTCGGGTACCAACATTAATATCTTATTTTGGCCATACCTTTTAATTAACTCAAAAAGACGATTTAAGTGTTTCACTGGAATTTTTGAAAACCCTAACAGGTAATAGGAAAGGATGCAATCGAAATTAGAGATAACATGTTTCCATCTAACTCATCATATCTTAAAAGGTCACACGTGGTCAATGATACACGTGCACGTGTGACATACTGTAGATATGTATATACTTTGTGCAAATAGTAGTATCAATTGACTTCATACTATCTCTCCATCTTTATTGATGTTGGCTATCTCACATACGTGTATATTATAACATTACCACTGTCATATGGTGAGATGAACAGATTATACCATATAGATGATGATACAAATGGATCACCACCAATATCCCAGTAAAATGAGAATTCCCCGTAAAATGAGATATCCCGTAAAATGAGATATCCCCGTAAAATGAGAATTCTCCGTAAAATGAGATATCCACATAAAATGAGATATCCCCGTAAACTGATATATCCCCGTAAAATGAGATACCCCCGTAAACTGATATATCCCCGTAAAATGAGAATTCTCCGTAAAATGAGATATCCACATAAAATGAGATATCCCCGTAAACTGATATATCCCCGTAAAATGAGATATCCCCGTAAACTGATATATCCCCGTAAAATGAGATACCCCCGTAAACTGATATATCCCCGTAAAATGAGATATCCCCGTAAAATAATATATATCCGTAAACTGATATATCCCGTAAAATGATATATTTCCGTAAACTGATATATCTCCGTAAACTGAGATATCCCCGTAAACTGATATATCCCCGTAAACTGAGATATCCCCGTAAAATAATATATATCTGTAAACTGATACATCCCCGTAAACTGACATATCTCCGTAAACTGAGATATCCCCGTAAACTGTTATATCCCCTAAACTGATATATTCCCTGTAAACTGAGATATCCCCGTAAACTGATATATCCCCGTAAACTGATATATCTCCGTTAACTGTTATATCCCTGTAAACTGATATATCCCTGTAAACTGAGATATCCCCGTAAACTGATATATCCCCGTAAACTGAGATATCCCCGTAAACTGATATATCCCCGTAAACTGATATATCCCCGTAAACTGATATATATATATCTGTAAACTGATATATCCCCGTAAACTATATATATCTGTAAACTGATATATCCCCGTAAACTGAGATATCACCGTAAACTGATATATCCCCGTAAACTGAGATATCACCGTAAAATAATATATATCTGTAAACTGATATATCCCAGGAAACTGATATATCCCCGTAAACTGAGATATCCCCGTAAACTGATATATCCCCGTAAACTGATATATCCCCGTAAACTGAGATATCCCCGTAAACTGAGATATCCCCGTAAACTGATATATCCCCGTAAACTGAGATATCCCCGTAAACTGATATATCCCCGTAAACTGATATATCCCCGTAAACTGAGATATCACCGTAAAATAATATATATCTGTAAACTGATATATCCCCGTAAACTGATATATCCCCGTAAACTGATATATCCCCGTAAACTGAGATATCCCCGTAAACTGAGATATCACCGTAAAATAATATATATCTGTAAAATGATATATCCCCGTAAACTGATATATCCTCGTAAACTGAGATATCCCCGTAAACTGAGATATCCCCGTAAACTGAGATATGCCCGTAAACTGATATATCCCCGTTAACTGTTATATCCCCGTAAACTGATATATCCCCGTAAACTGAGATATCACCGTAAAATAATATATATCTGTAAACTGATATATCCCCGTAAACTGATATATCCCCGTAAACTGAGATATCCCCGTAAACTGATATATCCCCGTAAACTGAGATATCCCCGTAAAATAATATATATCTGTAAACTGATATATCCCCGTAAACTGATATATCCCCGTAAACTGATATATCCCCGTAAACTGATATATCCCCGTAAACTGAGATATCCCCGTAAAATAATATATATCTGTAAACTGATATATCCCCGTAAACTGATATATCCCCGTAAACTGAGATATCCCCGTAAACTGATATATCCCCGTAAACTGAGATATCCCCGTAAAATAATATATATCTGTAAACTGATATATCCCCGTAAACTGATATATCCCCGTAAACTGAGATATCCCCGTAAAATGATATATATCTGTAAACTGAGATATCCCCGTAAACTGATATATCCCCATAAACTGATATATCTCCGTAGCGTTCAAATTTTGGCTTTAAAAACTTATTGATTTCGTTTAATAATATAACCAATGACATCCCGTGTCCCAATTTCCATAGTTCTCGTAAAAATCTAAACATCGAAATAATTTCATCGATGAACCTTTTTATCGTTGCCTATTTCAGAATGATTTGAATGCTCCAGATAAAGTTATACATATTTACAGCAAAAGAAATTGTGCGTTGTTTTATTGAAAATGGTTAGACAGAGAAAGGCTACCTTTTACGAACGGAATCTTTATAAGCATCCTATGTTGTTCTATTTTCATTTGTTCTTGTTTTTACTATGTTTATTATGCCACCCATGTTTTCAGAATATAAACAGATAAACATGTCCATCACCTGTCAGATATTTACAAACACATTGCCATCTTTACAATAAGTATCTCCATGTCATTCGATGCTCTACGTTGATAATACATCATTTTAGTGCATTTCTGTTTTTTGACAATGGTTAAGTGTATTGATCCTTCCTGTACCAGTGGAGCATTAAGTGACTTGTATATCATTCCGGCATTATTTATGATTCTCTGACATTATGTTCATTAAACATTGAGTATTTATTGCTGATATATATTTTATTAATATTATGCGGAGATATTCACCCTAACCCTGGTCCTGATAATGATACTAGCTCGATCTTTCAAAATATTTGTATTTGTCACATAAATGTATGTTCATTAAGAAACAGGATTCATCTTCTTGCTGCAGAATTCTCTGACTATGATATTTTATGTGTTAGTGAAACTCATCTCAATAATTATATTCCTGACAATGATTTATCACTTGAAAACTATGGTAATCTCTTCAGAAAAGATAGAAACAACTGTGGTGGTGGTGTTCTTATCTACTCTAAAAACAATCTTAATATCAAGCGAAGAACTGACCTTGAGTCTGATGAATTAGAATTACTTTGGGATGAGGTATCCACTCATAATAAGCCTATTTTAATTGGTTGTATCTACAGACCTCCAAATTCTCCTGTTAACTACTGGCAAAAACTTGAAAATAATTTAAATGATGTGTTTGATTTACAAAGAGAAGTAATTCTGGTTGGAGATATTAATCAAGATATGCTAAACCTTAGTCCAAACTCTCATTTTTATAGACTCTTATTAAAATACGGACTACAAAATACTGTTACTGAACTTACCAGGATTACTCCTCAATCTTCAACTTCACTTGATATTCTTGTTATTAATTAATGTTAACTTTGTTACTAATACATCTGTGCTACCCGCATCTTGTAGTGACCACTCCCCAATTACTGCTAACTTAAACTTTAAGTATTTTAAGAAACTTGCTTATAAAAAAAAACCTTTTATATTTCCAAAATACTAATTTTGATGGAGCAAATGAATTTTTTAGTTCTATTGTCTGGAATTTTCAATTAGTAGGTGATATTGATGAAATGAATTATATTCTATCTAACAAAATTTTAGCTGCTATTGACCAATTTGTACCAAACAAGACTGTAACTATTAGACCTAATGACAAAATATGGATGACTAATGAAATTAGACTGAAAATAAGACAGAGAAATCGTCAGCATTCTAAAGCTAAACAACAGAATTCCCAAGCCTCCTGGAATAAATTTAAAGTTATTCGAAACCAGGTAATTACCTTAATTCGAGCGGCTAAAATTGAATACCTATCTAAATTACAATCTTCTCTTATTGATAAAACTAATCCTCCTGGAAAATGGTGGCGAATTGCTAAATCAGTTATGAATCTTCAAAATAAAAGCGATACTGACTCTCCCCAGATAATTAATGATGATCTGAAAATACATCCTCTAGATAAAGCTGAGTCTTTCAATGATTACTTCACATCTATTTCAACGACAGACAAGAATGCTGATGATTTACCACCTGACTATCCCCCACCAATTATTAACTTCTCTTCTATCGACATAACTGAACAGGACATTATTGACCAACTTCAGCTTCGAAATTCTAACAAACCTGCTGGCCCTGATGCCATCCCTCCCAAATTCATAAAAGGAGTTTCTCAATCCCTTGTTAAACCTCTCTCTATAATATTTGATAAATCTATCTCTGCAGGTGTACTTTCTACCTCCTGGAAAAATGCCCATGTAACACCTGTATATAAAGGGAAAGGAGGAAAAAGTGACCCTTCCAACTATAGGCCAATCTCTGTTACTCCAATCTCCAGTAAAATCCTTGAGAAAATTGTTTTCAAATATTTGTATAACTATCTTTCAAGATACAATATTATCTCTAGAAACCAATCAGGTTTCTTACCAAAAGATTCTACTGTTAATCAACTTTTAATTATATATGATGAAATTATTAAACATTTGGATAAAGGCAAAGAAGCAAGAATGATATTTTGTGATATTAGCAAAGCGTTTGATAGAGTTTGGCATGATGGATTAATTTACAAATATGGTATTAGTAATAATATGTTAAAGTGGTTTTCATCTTATTTATCTGACAGGAAACAGAGAGTGGTCCTAGATGGGTACAGGTCCAACTGGAAAACATTACAGGCTGGGGTCCCACAAGGTTCAGTTCTTGGTCCTTATCTGTTCTTGCTATATATTAATGATATTGGTGATGATTTACTATCTAATTATTTGCTGATGACACATCTTTATATGGCCTAATTGAGGGCGACAGGCAAGATTAGGCTGATATACTAAATGATGATCTCCAAAAAATTTCTAGATGGGCAAATAGGTGGGTTATTATTTTTAATCCGGATAAGACTGAACCCTACATTTTTCTAGGCGAATAGATTCTGAAATGCTGCATCCAAATCTGTATTTTAATAACTCAGTTATTAAAAATGTTACATGTCATAAGCACCTGGGTCTAATTTTTAACAATCATGCTAACTGGTCCAACCACATAAGCTTTATGTATGAGTAAGCTTATAAACGAATAAATATTCTTAGAATGTTAAAGTACAAAATTGACAGAAAGTCACTTGAATTAATATATATTACATTTATTCGTCCTATTTTAGAATATGCTGATATTGTTTGGTCTAACTGCACAGAAAGGGAATGCAACATCTTAGAATCAGTTCAATTCGAGGCAATACACATTATTACTGGTCTGAGACGGGGCACCAGTCATGCTATCCTTTACAATGAGTCTAGATTAATACCATTAGCTAAACGGAGACACCTACATCAAAATATCCATTTTTTAATATTTTAAATAACAGATGCCCTCCTCATGTAACTGATTCTATACATCCTTTTATCAACAATAATACTGCTCATTATCCTCTTCGACACAAAACTCATGACTGAATAGAATGACCCATCCTGTCTGTTTCCCTCATTGACATCCATTTATGCAATAAAAAAAAAAAACATTTTTGTCACAGCCTGTTATCAATCCTCTTTTACAATGCACTGATACTTTTAAATATTACGGTAAAAGAAAGGCAAACATAACCTTGTGTCAACTAAGAAACTCTGCAAGTAATCTAAATTTTGACTTATTTAATTCCCACCTTAAAGACAATCCTGCCTGTACTTGTGGCCACCCAGTTGAAGATCCTACTCACTTTTTTCCCATCGCCCCTTCTTTACTATTCAAAGACAACCCCTTCTTAATTATCTTTCTACTCATAGTGATTCTATACCTCTTACCACTGATACATTTCTTAAAGGATCTCATACACTTGATGCAAATATAAATAAATCTATTCTTGATTTGGTTCAGAGATTTATAACTAATACCGGTCGCCTGTTTTAGCCTTAGTATTCTTATATATACATTTTTTTTCTATTTTTAATTTGAATTTGTTATCTTAAGCTTGGTTCGCCCGTCAATTTTTACGGACTCGGCTCAGGATTGTGGGTATATGGACTGTTTGAACCTGCAGCCTGTGCCGTGATCAATTGACAAACTTTGACTCCATCTAGTTATATATAATTATATTACCTATCTAATCTTACCATTCTTTAACACTATAATTTAAATGATGGTAATGCTTGCCTAACATTTCTGTTAGATAATTATTCAACTGAATCTATATTCTATATTCTTTTCCTGGAATGCTATCATTATTATTCAATATCTTTAATTTTTATTGATGTGTCTGTGTACTTGTTTAAGTTGTATGGAGAGGGCTTCCATAGGCTCTGCCTGTTGCCCAATGCCATTTGTCACCAACATCAAGACAACAAAATATTCTGAAATGAAATTTTTGCATGAAAAAGTAACATCTAGAATATAACAAAACATTTTTTGCAGTATGGTATGACCGTGAACATCATATATGTCCAATTGGAAATCAAAGATAGGACACGATAGACTCTCTTTACCTACAACGCATCAGGACAGCGTTACAATGATGATTGCGATTTGTTTATCCCAATATAAGGATATTCATGAAAGATAACACAGGGTTCGAGAGATGTAGGTTGACGGAGACTATATGGAAGAGCTAAGATCGCCATCAATTTCTCATTGGAAAATATTTTATTTTCTTGTGCCATTTATATGATATGCGCTTGGTGTTTAGTTTCGCTTTCATCGGATTACTTACTCGCATAAACATTTTGCTCATTTGTTGTCATTTATTGATCAATCTTAAATTTGGATTTAGATTTTTAACGTGTTAGTATATTTTTGTTATTTTAATAAAATTTAGATAAAAAATATAATGTCTTGATATTGTTTTCATACGTTTTACAAATAAAGATTGGTGTACAGCGATCAAAGTATAGGTCTTATCTAGCCTTAACATGTAATGGTACGTGACAGATCGTCCTCTCATGAACCATTCAATATTTATAAAAGTCACAAGGCCGTGGTGATCTATTTCTACATCACAACATTCAAAACATACTAATGTCATGAAAAAAATGCAGATGATAGGACTAGACACATTCAAATAGCATAGAAGAGATATCAAAGAACATTAGGGGAAATGGATCAACACATAACGGTCATAAATTGGTAATGATAAACGCCGTTACTTATCTCTTATCAAACAAAGAGTCTTAAATGAAACGAGTTTTATTCTTTCGAGTCTTCGCGAGTAAAAACTGAAACTCCAAAAGGGCTTTCATGAAGGCTCATAGAAAATGAAAGCAAGCTTTATTGTATACTTGGATTTGTAGATTTTTTTCTATCACTCATACAATGTTCCATGTATCTCTGAAATGAATTTCGGAAGATTACTATAGCTTAATACATTTCTTACGTATTCCTACCGCCATTGTTATATACACGTGTACGAGTAACACAAAAGAGTTCCATTCTTACTAAGTCACATTGACAACAATGCAGATTTGTTCAAAAGAGCAACCTTGTAGCCTGATTGGAATCGGAAACAACTGTCATCAGTAGACAGAATAATCTTAACAATCTGAATTATAGTGTCCACCTGAATAACTCCAACGAAAGATCGACAAAATATCTCATTTTTATGCAATTATTACCGTCGGCTAGTCTCATCACTTGATGTATTCGTCATTTCTAAATCGTATTATACAAAATGATGGAAATTACTTTCAGAATGGGTAAGACATTCCTCTCTCTGGTAATACAAAATTTGGTGTAACATCTTTCAGAGGCTGTAAAATGCAACGTAAATGTTGATGTTGCTCGATATTCGTGTCACGTGGCTTAACGCAAGTGTTCATGAACCTAAAACGTCACTATGATATCTAGGGCGATATGTATTAATTCTATCAGTGTGTAAGAGAAGCTGTATCTGGTAGGTAAAGATAAAACTAAGACATGGAAAGAAAGTTGGTGTATTCTCAACAGTATGATATTAAAAAGCAAGATTAATGGTGATTCGTCCATACCGGAACGGCGTTGTCAATATGATAACATTTCGTTCAATTTCTCACTGACGCAGCGAACGAGAAAGGGATCTATGGTAGGCAACACTAATGACATACGTGCAAATCTATAATGGGCGATATTACAGGATACACTGATTAGGTGACAAATATAGATATGTTATCTGTTTATGTAAGTAGTGACGCTAGCTGCTCACTGTCTGGCTTCCTTTTCATGATTGTTCCAAGTTAGGTTACCTTACTCATAAAGATATCACGTGGACTATCATCAGTGAATTTAATTCCAGAAACAAAAATTAAAAGAAAAAAAAAAAAAAAAAAACTGATATTGATAAAGCCTCATCAGGCAATTTATATCTCCCTTTTGATGTCAAGCATGTTAGGAAATTACCCGTTTTGTTGATAAACAAGACCATAATGCATGTTAAACTGAATTATGTATATAAACGACTTTAATTTGTTTGTTTATTGTCTATTAACCTCAAAACGTATAAGTAAATCAAAATACTGTTGTCAATTAAGGTTGATAATCGATAAAATGCACGACCATCAAAGTAAACACTAAACATTCTACATGACGGATATCGTCCATGAAGAAGACAACGTTGACTTTCAGAATCACCTGGTGTAATTCTCTGTCGCTTTTAAACGTTTTATTTATTTTGAGCTAGAATAATGAAATTGGTTTTACCTTGATATTATATATTACAAAATTGATTGGTTTACGAACAATTATTGCTATTCGCGACTGTATATAACAGATGACTGGAAAGTGAGGTCTAAACTGTGCATAAATGATGTGCCTCTGGCATTGTTTTAAAATCAAATTTCATTTTTTGTTTCTTTTCATTTTCAATGCATTTTATAACATTATATTATATATTTGTGCGATATCAAGCAGAACATGTTTGGTAAGCGTTAGTTTGCCCATTGGTTCCGTTGTTGCATACATTGTTCTCATTTGAGAACCTGGCATTAATTACTTGAATGGACGACTTGATCAATATTAACTTTCTTTTGTTCATATTTTGTTTAAGTTTTATTGAACTCAAAAGTTCTGATTGCGATTACGTTGATATATTGGTGTTGACTTGGTTTTGTTTTAGCTGTTACAGTGGCTAGTTCTGCTTTTATAGACGGTATGTTTAAGAGAGTATGAGGAAAGTCCTACATTCACGTGTAATGCTTTTGATACATAACAAGAGTTCAGCTAGTTAACTTTTTAATGTGAATACTCAGTAGCTGCTAGCCTGTCGGAGTACGACTTTAAAAACGCAGGTTAGGTTAGGTCAAATATTTACAGAATTTAGATTCTAACATATTGTAAAACTCCTTTCAGTTTAGAAAACTGTCGGTGTTGTGAATGAACTACGTACTGTACCCATTATTATCTAGTCGTTCAGTGTAGAGATATGATAACCTGGCCACCGTGTACAAGGTGAAGAACACGTGTCATATGCTTGCCGAGTGTAGTTATAATCAGTATCTATATTTATATAACAATGTATTTAATCATTTGTTGTCATGTGCCTAACTGATGTGAGGAACTGTTTTAACCTAACTGTTGACGACGTTAGGTAAAGTGATGTCCGCCGTTGACCATTCCCGCCGTTGTTACCCATATCAATCGGATAATTAGTATTGTGTGTGGATGCATTGAAGCACTAAATGATGAAGGGATCAGGTAGGTTTTTTATAAGCAATATTTGTTTTCCTGTTTAAAACTGTTTGGCTTGTTGGAATCATATCACATCCATAGTATGTTTAGATGTACATGTAAGACTAGTTTTATCATAGACAAATACGACTCGTTACATAAACAATAAAATCTTTCAAACAATTATTCAGGGATGTTATATTAACTATCAAACCATAAAATTACATAATAATATTTTGTCCTGATTTCATACTGGAATATATATATATATATATATATATATATGTATATAATGAGATATAACTATATGTTTAAATGGATCAATATAAGTCTTAATTAGTCGGTTTTGTTATAAGTTTGTACATGAAGAAGCTTTTGTCAGCTCTACTTAGATGTACAAATGAAAGTCATATAATTCTATACAGATGATGACAATAGGAGACCTAAATTCATTGTCTATACTAATACAGTTAGTGGAATAGATTATCTCGGAATTTAAAGTTATTGTGCTGAGTTATGATGATATGGTGATTCTGACATATAATTTCTTCTCACAAAAAATACTGTACAGTTGTGGTAAAGCACAACACACCAAAACCTTCGTACGGACACACGCACTACACAGTATCTAGCACAAGGATCGCACATTTTGTGCCGTTTGGTAAAAACGGTAATTATAAATGCCCCGGCATCAAAACCAAATGTAACAGAGGTCACTATCAATTCCAATGCCTCCGCTAGGAATCGAACCCAGGACCCCTGGCTTAATAGTCTTACTAGTACTTATAAACAAGCTGTATCAAAAGCTTAGTTACACTTTTGTGAATTTTCCATTTCTAAATTCACCTGTTTCCTGTAACTAAGGTGTTTTCATGTCGTGGTTAGGGCTTGATGAACTTACTATAGGGTTTCGAGAAATGCAGGTTGATGAGGATTTTGGATAATTTTTACTGAAGTGATATAAATCTCATTGAGAAATATCCTATTTCCATGTGATATGAAGTTAGGCATGCTTGATGTTCTTTAGTATGCATGCTGATTCTGTTGTTATATAACCGGTGCCATTGAGACAGCAGAAGACACCTCTAGCATTACCGACTTCATTTCAATACTTGGACAATTCCTCTGACGCTGTGTGAAAATCATTGTATACCATTGTATTTACCGAGGTATTTGTCTTTTTGAGTAAAAGACAGATATATATGATTTTCCACTTTAAGGCAAGCAAAGTTACAAACACAAAATTTCATCTCACCACCAGAATATTCTGGTATAGAAAGGTTTGTTTATCCCTTGTCTGAGCAACAAATTCAGTTTTCAAATTTTGCACCCATCTACCTCGAGATGTGTTGTGTGTAAGCTATTCTTTCACATTGATCAATTAAGTCTTATTATCTGATATTTAATAAGAACCACATACTTATACTAATGAATGTAGGTATTGTTAAACTGTTGTAGAATATTTATTAACTGACTTTAAGTAATTAAGATATGTTCCCTTGGTTTTATTAAAGAAACATTAAATTTAATACCAATATATTTGAAATGTAAAGTGAAATGTCATTCAGTTGATATATGTCATATTGTTTATAATGGAAACAGCACCATTTCGTGCTCAAGTGATAGCCTAATCAAACAGATTTTCAATTTTCCCTTTGAATTGCTGCAACAGCATTAGTTTAATTTTTTTTTCATATATTACTATATTTCTACCTTTCACTTTCCTTATAAGACGTAACCTACAGGTAGAGCTTAAGAGTATTATCTTTGTTCAGATAATTAGTAAGAGTCGACTAAATCTACAATCTGGTCTTATTCCCTTTTTATGTCCCGATATTCACGGTAACCTGCATGCTACGTTTAAATTCATTTGAATAGTGGCGCGGTTCAGAATACACACACGTACTTGATGTTGTTCTCAAATGACAAGATATCTGAAAATTACGAAATTTTCTTAATTATGGGGCAAGTTCACTTCCCAGTTTAGTGTTTGTCTATTTTTTCGACCACTTTGAATTTTCTTCAGTCGATTCCTAGACTTAAAATTTTTGGCCCTTAACATCACTGACAAGTGCTAGAAGGACGAAACAACTGTATGCTGCATTGCCTTAATCTACTGTAATCATTAGGTTGTATCAAAAGGCGCTATTCAACTGTGTGCCCTCTATACAATCTTTATTTTTCACCTGTAGTGGAGTTTTGTCCTTATGGGGAAGGCTTTGGGTTCTGTTCCCTGGCCAAGGCATACCAGAGTCTTTGAAAAAATCTATTTTATTACTCCCGGCTTAAAACGGTTAGGGTTATGACTACTACGATTGTTACCCGTGTAATGTGACCATGTCGAGTGTCCTGCTGGATGCTTTTGACAATACACTGTAGTATAAGAACGCTGAAACGTCGTCATCAGTCCGTAATATCACGGAGAGACTAAAGCGAACATGTGACAGCCTCCCAAACGGACAACCACTCAACACATACACAAACCGCGCTTATATACATGTATGTATGACATTCATAACCAGAGCTGTTAAACGTGAAACAATATAAAAACAAACCATACAATTATTCTAAGACAATCACTGTTTTTTTCACGCAATATATCTATCTAGATGAAAACAATGTAAACATGTTCAGTCGAATAAATATTACATTAATCTAAAGTCCGAAGGATATTTCATAAAATTTTGTTAAATATTAGAAAGTCCAAAAAGCTTATCAAGGAGGCTTTTAAAAGTCCACGTGGATTTTTTGTCATGGATATGAATTCATATTATGTGACGCAACTTCTGAAAAATTTGCTGTCAGATATATTCTTTTTTTTATGAATAAGCTATTTTATTTTCTCAGGCTCAGAGAGAAATGTGAGACTTTTGGGTCATCAAATTCCAAATTTTGATAGAGCAGCTTAGGACCCTACCATCCACCACGAAAATTTTATTCTACCATATTTGGATCATTGGAAGATTTTCCTTTAATAAATTTGAGTCAGACTGACATTTTTCAGTTCCACCCATAAGCCCTGGAGATGATCAAAATATGATTTCTTGTTATGTAATAAAAACATGCTCACATGTTTTCATAATTAATTAAAACTCGAATTCGATGAAACTAGGACTAAATATACACAGAAGAACGATGTACACGAAGACTCCTTCAGTAAAGCAAGGAGAATAAGACCAGGTGCTCCGGAAGGGTGACTGTGTACTTATATTTGTGTATTCTTTGTGTTTACGGTGCAACTCATCTGTGTTATGTCTTGCAGAAAGCTCAACAGCGGAGGACCCTGGCAAGTCCAGCCTGCCGAGAAAGACAGGGGACCGAGAGTATGTCAACCATGGTATGGAAGACGAAATGGTATGTCACACAAGCTGGGCTTGAAACTACTTTATACAATAGGTCTATAAATAGACACATTTGTGTCGCTTTCATTTACATATCTAAGATGACAACGCGACGTCAACCAAAGTAACTATTTACCTAGCTTTGTTGCCATTTAGTTTACAACGCAATCAAAGTTTTAAAGTCTATGAATTATTAAGTTCTATAAATTGTTTGAGATACGGAATAAAAGAAAATTAACAAAAACTCTTACCACATTATTAATGTTGGCTAAAACTGGTTCCCTGCTTCGACATTTGAAATATTGAAATGATACCAGAATAAATTTGAAATTAGCAGAACACGAAATCTTATACTGGAAATTCAAAATTTGAGAAGTTATCGACACTAAAGTGTACATTAGATCTTTTTTTTTTAGAAATATTTGCAGTGCTGTTTCGGAAACATTTCCGACTATTAGTTCCAACTATTCTCTCCTACTTTCCTCTTTCATGTTTGAACCAAATTTCACATCATTGCCCTTTGCATGTTCATTTTAATATCGTTATATAGTAAACGTGATAATTTCAATTTTCCTGTTGAATTATTTCTTTATTTCTGGATAGCAAAATATTTGTATTCCCAGCCTATAGTATTGACATGTCGTAGTTAATTCAATACTTTAGTAGTGAATGTTTCCAATAATACCAATTAAGAAATATTCAATATCTGTGTGCGATATGAAGTTGGGAGTGATGATTCCAGTGGTTTTTTTTTTATCTTGTTCTCATTTGAGATTTACTGGGCGGGTGGCGTCGAAAAAGCAGAATAGGTTTACGTTTCTGGAACCCATGGTCTTAATATTCTTTTATTTGCTCAGAAATATCAGTGTAAGTCATTTTTTGTTCTTATTTTGCCATGATTTTACATAATTTGAATTAAGATGATGTCGATATTTTCTTTGTTAATTTTGAGACTAGTAAAAAATGACGTTAACGCATTCAAATGGAAAAGATGATTTCTTGTGTTGTGCAGCGTTGCTTAATGGTCACTTTTACATAATATTTTCTGTAACAGGAAGTACAAGGCTTTATTCGGTCTAAGATGAAAACAGCTGTGATTGTATCCTTAACCGTTTTAACTGGCGGGGTACTGCGCCTTTTTCTATTCTGGTTCCCACATCTCCTCGTTAAGTGGACTCACCGGAAGTGTCAACTCGGTGTCGCCAATACTGTAGTTTTAAAGGTAAAGGAATGTTTTATATACATTAAGCTCAAATCGTTTTAAACAAATAATCAAATGTTTACTTCTTTCACTTGTCCATTCACCAGACAATATCAAAGAAATTATTTCAAAGTTGGTTACGAAGAACAAAAGTAACAGTTCACGAGCAATTTCTCGTTAACGATTTCAGCGCAAATTTTCTACGTTTTATAGGCATTTTCCCCATGGTATACTCTGATGTTTTTATTTTCTGCTTTCTGATTCTCCAGTAATTAAAATAAGAACGTAGCACTTTATGCATGGAACAAAGTTAATTTGACCATCTATATATCATATGTAAGGACAAGAAACTAGTAGAGTTGATTGTTGTAGATGAAGGAATCTACAATGTTAGGTTTAGCATGTCGAACGGGTACCCCTCTAATGTTGATATAACAAGTTAGAATCCGGCAATCTTTTTAATAAAAGGCTTACGTTATTTTTTTATTTGAAAATGTAGATAGTGAAGGATTAATACTTGTTAGAAATATCATGTTATAGTCATGGTCATATCAACAACATTAGCATAAGCTTACCACAATGTTATAATGAAAAGAAAGCAAACCGTATATATATGTTTAGCGCTATGTTATAATAAAAAGCAAACCATAACATATATACATATATACATACATGCATATATCAAAAACTATATATTTTTCAATTCAGTAATGACTCTTGTAAAAGCCCAAGTGAATTACTAAAGTTGTTTGTAAGCAATTATGTATAAGACCTGTTATTATAAAGTTATAATTAAAATGTAAGAAAATCATAATTATAAAAAAAATAAAATAAAAAATGATAAAAAATGAATAAAAAAAGTCAGATAGGAGTTGCTTCCCTTGTATTATATTGCAAGACGATTGTCATCTTAATGGCTATTTCTAATGAATGTCTATATCTTATGTTTATGTATTTTGTCTTTTAGGACTTTGATGTTATGTATAGGAGAGGATTTAAATAGGCTCTGCCTGATGTTTAACCCCTTTGTCATATATGTAATTACATGTCAATAAAGTTGAAAAATGACCAGTAATAGTATCATAGTTTAACATCAGACACTGTACATATGTCGAGTGTACTAATAGTCTTACGGAGGTTTAGAGAGTCAAACGACACAGTGTGTATCACATGTAATTGCTGAAAGAACTTTGTGCTTTTTTATCTGTCCAAAATATCAGGTTATATTTATCTTAGTGAAGAGATCTCTTTCAGGAACAGTTCAATTTTTGCCCACGCACCAAATTAAATAGTAGTTTGTAGTATTTGTAGCATCTTTACTGATTACCTATGAAGAAAGGTTAAAAATCCCAAAAGGTCCATAGTACTTGTGCTACGACCCATTTGGTGTCGTAACATAGGAGTATGACAGGGTTTATCAACTGAAAAAATATCAGAACCACAACGTACATTACCAAATGATATACTGTTTGAGTAGTAAGGACCGGTTTGACAATATGTATCAAAATATTGCAAAATAATTTTTGTTTTTTTTTGTTTTTGTTTTTGTCAGATAAAATGATTTTTAATAACTGAATTATTTACTTCCAGGTTTAGTGCACCAAGGTTCTTTATGTATTATTTGTTCCTTTTTGTCAAGAACATCGGGTGAAAATTTCAGGAAAGTACATGCTTCAGTTCTTTGAGAAAACACGCCTTGAATCCTTTAATCCTATTTCATGGGTAATCACTCTAGGTGCTACAAATACCACCCACTTTTATCTAATTTGGTGTGTGGGCAAAATTTCCATTTTTCCTGAAAGCGATCCTTTATTCCGATTTCACGTATTTTTGACCAAAGGATCAGTATGATCAGAAGTTTGTCAGTGACGTCATGACGGCGATGGTGGACAAAGAATATAACACAATAACAGGGTAAGATAATGACTAAGTGTTCTGAAAATTAGATCACATCGAAACTACGGCACTATTTACATCAATATATAATATTTACGTCAAGCAAAAATTGATATCACGACGGTAAAAAATCTGCATGCTATCGCGCTCATCAAATATATAAAATTTATGTTTACCAGGAAAATTAATGGAGTATAACTAATGGTAATTTGAATGTTGCCATTTTGTTTTATGGTTGGTTGACCGTGCGGGTAATGCTGATCTTACAACAGCTTTATCAGAAATCAAGTATCTGCATGACGCTTTTGTATAAGTAATAAAATAATGATATTGATTTCTCTTTTTATTATAATATACGAATATTCATATACTTTGATATAACAGGTCCGGTCGATATTCTTATAAACGCTCAGGATCACACAAAGGTTCTACAAGAAAGGATAGTGACACCATTCCTTTATTGTTCTCCGATGATGAGGTAACCGTTAGATTGAAATAAACAATATTAAATAACAACAATCACTACGTTAATAGGTAAATATCTTTTGATGAAAGTTCACACATGCGGTTTAAATCTTGCTTTATATATAAATTTCCATATGTTGTATCTCTGATACACGGAAATGGCTAAATGTATTTGGCTTTGGGGCAAGTGCACCTTCATCTAGATTTTGACTTTATTTTCCATCACATTTGATTTTTCTCAGTCGCCTTCCAGAAGGACGAAACAGCTGTATAATGCAGTTTAATTCATTGTTTGGCTCTGCTGTATTGAACACTCAATTTATATTAAAATATGCTATTCACTTGTTGTTATTTGTACAATTTTTTTATAGTAATATCATTGAGTGAAAAGTAAAACACTTCAGAATCTACGAATATTTCAGTAACATTTTAAATAATTTTTGGTGTTCAAATAAATAAGTGTACCAGTTGAATCAAACAAATAAGTCTTTCGCCAAAATTTAGGATCTTACAGTGTTTACCTGTGCTCCAATTACTTTGTATACTCAGATTACCACTTTTTCTGAAAAGGAAGATTTCGCAATTATAATGAACAAATGCAAAACGGATTAAAGTCTAAACATTTTGCGTATTAAAAATACATCACTTTAGTCTACAAGATCGTTTATAAATGTATAAAGAAATTATTCTATATTTTGATAAAATTAAGGATGTTTATAACCAAATAATTTTCATGTACACATTTATTGGAAATAAATACAATTCATACATTGTACACTTATAAGCACTTATATATATTTTACCTTTGTGATGTAAATTCAATATTTGTTTTAGCTTCAATTTGATGTTATACGTTATTTCATCTCGAAAAAAGTCAAGTATGTCTGGAACCCAGCAACAGAAACTTATGAAAAATTAAGGTAAGTCTTATTCGTATTTCACATCTACATGTATAGTATATGACACTGCATTGGTATACAATAAGATGTGAACTATACAGTGTGTCGTACTCTTTTTGCGAATATCGTACTTGGACTTTAGGTAAAAACCCAAACTCTCCTTCAGGGTGACACTAAAATGAAACTTTGTCTAAATACGTGTGAGATATTGCTTGAGGTATGGTATTTACCAGAAAAACACACGTTGCTCAATAATACATTTAATACCAACGTTTTGAGCAAAATTTCTTAATGTTGCTATTCTTATCTAACTATGTATATTTTAACAGATCATTTCATGTTTTAATTATAACAAACAATAGAATGATGACTTAGGGATAACTGTTTTCAGATTATCATACTTAAAGCTCATCCTGTTTTCCAAATATATTCATTAGTTCACTAAATATTTTACTTCACTAAGTACTGTCATCAAAAATCGCAATATTTAGCTACAATCAGGGTCAGATTTCACAATCTGACAAACAACCAGCAATATTATTTCCTCGATATTTGGTCGTTGATCTGTCACAAAATCATTGAAATTTTAATTGAAATATGGAAACTATTCTAAAACAAGTGAATAAAGTGTGTTTTAATCTTTAGATTTGTTTTACTTAAAAAAAAAGTGACAAAAAGAATTAATTTTGACAAACGTCCATTTGGGATTAATTTGTGTACTGCAGTACATGTTGTGCTCTAATTACTTTGTATACTCTGATTACCACGCAATGCCTTTTCTTTCCAATTGTCCATCGACCTAAACTTAGTCACTGAACTAGATTTACCGAAGTCGTATATTTAAAATACATACTTAAAGTGTTTCCATAATATGATAGTTCTTACTAGTAAACTTTAAAACTCTGTACCATTACTAACTTGTTTATAGAATTAATGGATCCTAATGTTTCTTTGTTTATGTACATAACACCGGAAACAGGGGTCTTGAAGAGTCGACACCATGTTCCTTTTTCCACAATACCCTAGGACAAAGCAGGGCGGAGCAAATAAAAGGGTATTGATTATTTATCAAATGAGAGCGTGCATCAACGAAACCACACATTTATGTACCATGCTTGTTTCGATTCTCATACTCTTATACAGTATTCAGAATTTTTTTTACTCAATTTTAAGGTATGTAACAGGTCGAAATGATCAAGGAAATCAACGATTCGTCAGTAAAGTAAAAATAATATTGCAATACAATTTCATATAGAAGATTGATCAATATGATGATATTTCCTTTTTATCCTATCCAAGGTACGACTTGAAATAAAAGCTCAGATAATCGTAATGAATTTTAAATTTGTTGGCACATTTCTGAAAAAAATCTATCAACCAAACTTGTGTTTTATTGTTTCAGACGAGCAACATATGGAATTAATCGTATTGAAGTGACTATCACACCTTTATTTCAGCTGTTTTTCCAACAGGTGGGTTATATTTAAATTTAATTTAAGATTTGAATATTCCATGAAGTTCCATCGTTTTATACTCCATAAAAATATTTAAAGTATCGGTTTTCTACTTATTGTGCGTGCTACAAAATGGAAAATATTTATATTTCAGTTTCAAATATTATAATAATACATAGATCTTAATATAACATATATATAAACATACATAAGCTGATTGAATATCTCGTTTATTTATATGTTTTTGAATCGGTACGAATATAATATAGAGTCATTAAATGAGAAACGTAGAATCTCCCTCGTGTTACGCACGTGGAATCCTTAGGGAACAATTTACCATATTTGCTCAAGCACGGGAAGTGTCACGATATGATTTAGTTCTGTTAACATTGCAGGTCCTGTCTCCTTTCTACGTGTTCCAAATGTTTAGTTCTATCTTGTGGTTTGTGGAGTGGTATTACTACTACGCTGGGTTCATTGTCTTCATATCTGTTCTATCTATGACGGTCGCGATCTACCAGACAAGAACGGTCAGTGATTCAGCAAAAATAACACAGAACTCTTATAAGCAAACACAAATCAACAGTAATTCCATGTTATTTAACATCTATAGAAAATATAAAAGTGGTATTGACATTGTCAAAAATGACTTGTAAGTTGCTAAACTCAATAAATACAGCTTACCCACAGGTAAAGTAGTCTCAACGGTGTTACAGAGAGTTTTGTTTCAATTTGCTTAGATGTGGATAGGCAACACATTTCAGAATAAAATGTTAACAGATTAAATCAATTCAATTCTTTCACGCCTCAAAAAAACCCTAAGGGAAACCATACACACATTTTCTCATGGCTCAATATTTGTATAGCTATGTTGAACGTCATATAAGTGATACATCTGGGAAAGTTATCGATCCATGTCATTTAAATCCAGTTTTGGCAATATAATGTTGTAATTGTAATGTATACTGTGATGAAAATACACTAGTTTAACGAAAGAAATGTGAAATCAGATTTTTTTCTTACAGACAGAATTAGCTCTACGCAGTACAATAGAGTCCTCTTCAAACGTCCTTGTATATCGAGGAAAGAATGGTACGTTTCCTGCATATATCTTTTTATGTCTATTTACATAAACTTCGATTTCCATATTTTATTAAAGGAATATTTCGAAGTGAACTTTATATATGTTTTCATTGAGTAGTTACGTACAAAACTTGCTATTGAACAGTAGGTAAAGTCGAGGCAATGAGTTATGAATGTACTCTTTCTATGAGATGGGGCCCGTTTGTGAGGCAAGGATAATAATGTGTCGGTCGTAAGTATTTTGTTTATGGTCAATCACACGTGACATGAAACATGGAAAGGACCAGTTGGTTCAAGAAGTCCATATCTTGACAAAAACGTTCAGACATTGATATCGATACGAAAATATGGCTATCAGAAAATAAAAACAGACCAGAGGTATCAACGCATTTTTAACCTATAATTTGTTTACTGAATTGTTGACATGTTTAAATGATATATTAACTGTGAATAACTGCCGTTTTCTCCCATTGTTCCCAAACGTTGTCTGTCATTTCAGTGTATGAGGAAATATCTTCAGAAGATCTGGTTCCCGGTGACGTCATAGAGATCCCCAGGCGAGGCTGTATGATGCAGTGTGACGCCGTTCTTGTGTCAGGAAATTGTATAGTAAACGAAGGGATGCTTACAGGTACTGATGGATAGCAGCCAATACCATATTAATGACATTATATATAAAAGTGATCATCATGGTTTTTCAAGAAAGGTGTACAAAATTATCTGTAGTAGTTATTATGGATTTTGTGCGTTTTCCCAGAAAACCGCCTTATTCTGCAAGATTTGAAGCCATTGGAGTCATTTTGAAAGGTCGACGTCATGACAATCACCATGTTTATTGTTCAGATGAAATTCGTGTTACATTTCGAATCCATTGTATTGAAACAACGTTTGTAAACAATACTACATAAGCATAGCATTACATGAAAACATATTATTACTTTTATTGTCTAGAGGCTTCATCCCTCGTCAAATTTCACACGTTTTAAAGCATCAAATGATCAAGGACAAGTTGAAGCTTCAACTTTGTTGGGTTAAGGTCAAGGTCACCGTTACTAATATTAGAATATATGTTGCAAACACTCTAGCGGCTTTAATCCTAACAGGATTTTGATGAAACCTTAAATATTTACAAGTATAACAGGATTTTGATGAAACCTTAAATATTTACAAGTAACAATAACACATTTAATCACATTGGTGATACACTGCTTTGTCAAATATTTATTTTTGTTTATTACATTTTAACGTTAAAATCAGTTAAAAGCTAATCATATATTTTTTCCAAATGAGCACCAAACAGCACAATTTTATAAACCATTACAGTGTAAAAGCTTGCGGGGGTCGGTAGGGATATGTATTGCTTAAGTAATCTTCAGTATGTTTGCTATGTTAGTAAATGTTCTTCTTTTATTATGGTGTAAATAGACTCTATGCAGTATTTGTCGGAATGGACTGTATGTTGTATAATTAATATATCATTAATCTTTTATAGGAGAAAGTGTACCAATTACAAAGACACCTCTCCCGAACCCCGCATTGTCTAGATCACAGGAAGACGTCTTGTTTAGTATGCGTGAGCATGCGCGTCACGTTTTGTTTTGTGGTACAAAGATTATCCAGACTCGATACTATGACAACCATAAAGTTCGAGCTGTTGTGATTAGAACAGGTAACATTCAAAGGATTTTATGATATGGAATTACCTCAAATGTAGGCAGATGGCAGATATGGATGGTAAATGATAGGGGTTGGGGTTCGGATATCAACATATATGTATATCAATACTCATTTGTGATTAATGTCTTTTTTAACTTACGATAAAAATACTTTAAAAACTGTATGAATTGCGACAATTACTGGAACATATTTCTAGATTCTGGACTGAAGATGGTAGACACTGCAGGTAAACTTTTAGTCCTCTGGGTTAGCAGTAACCTGTATGCTACGTTTCAATTCATTCAAATAGTGGCACGGTCCAGAACACACACATGCACTTGATTTTGTTCTAGAATTATCTTATTTATGAAAATTCGAAATATATTTATAGGTGGAGCTAGTGTACCTCCATATCTATAGTTTGACTTTTCTGTCACTCATTCTCAGTCTCACACCACCCACTCTTCAAAAGGTAGACCCTTAACATCACTGACGAGTCCTATAATGACGAAATAGTTGTGTGACGTACTTCAATTTATTGTTTGGCAAACGTATCTAACTCTAAATTCGCATCAAAAGATACTATTCACTGGTGTGTCTTTTGTGCAAATAATTAATGTGGCAATGTGAACTATTTGATATACTTTGAATTTCTATTTCACACTCTTAATATTTAACAATAAAACTTATTTGTTTACCTTGTTTAACTATTTAAGGCTATAATACAGCTAAAGGAGAACTTGTGCGGTCAATCATGTTTCCTAAGCCGGTGGACTTCAAATTTGAGGTGGACTCCTATAAATTCCTGGCTTTCCTCTCGTGTATAGCTACATTTGGTGTCATCTACACATTTCTGGTCATGGTAATTAAATTATTACATTTTATTAAATGCTTGTAATAATAACTGCTTCTATGTACATGTCTGTTATCAAACACTTTAAAGAAAACCCAGTGAGCGATTTTAACTGAACAATGTTTTCAAAGTGGCAATTTCAAATTTGATTTTTTTAATATAAGTTTTTGTTTACGAAATCTCTTTCGACTTTGACTTTACTCTGCTGCCTCTTATGTTGCAATTCTTGTTTTGTTTTGTTTTCAAATGAATAAAAACTCAATTTAACCTCACGGTCACAGGGGTCAAATGTGTTAAATCCCAAACGACACTTTTCTCAATAATAAAAAAAACATAGGATTCAAATTTCTGGCCTGCAGCATGCATCCTGGGATGAAGGGCTACAAGATTCGTTCAAATGATCGACTTTGATGTAATTTTAATGTCAAAGAGGTCAAATGTGTTGAGCTTTTAAAGGTTGTTCTTTCAACAGCAATAGGTCATGGAGCACAGTATTTATATAGTTGTATGTTAGAAATATGATTTTAAATTTGCAGTAATGGACAGAGTCGTGTGTGTGAGCTGTAGCACTGGTTGGCCATTCCCGCCCAATTTTAATCATATAGGAACTATAATCTTATATAAAGGACGACAGTTGATGTCCATTGGTTTCCTGTTTACCTCTGTAATATATCTATTTTTATATAAAGATGCTAGATACTTGAGCTTGAGTGTTTGAAGTATAATCAGTTTTGAACTGGTTTGGTTGCTTCTGATAAACTAGTAATCAGTATATATATATGTGTGTAAGGGCGTGTGTAAGTTAGTGTGTATTAAACAAACTCTGCAAAGTAGAAACAAAGTCTACACAATGTCTACAACTTTTCCATTCTTATTGGAATTTGAGGAATAATTTCCATTTCAACTCATAATCCCCATAGCTTCTTACTTTTTTACTTTGGACACCCTTGTAGATGTTTGTAGACACCATCTTTGCCATTGTCTATCTTAATACAGTCCAACAAAAGTGCACCGATCGACGAGGTCATCATGCTAGCACTTGATCTTGTTACCGTGGCCGTCCCTGCTGCACTGCCGGCTGCGCTAACAATTGGAATCGTGTTCGCGCAATGGCGACTGAAAAAGAATGGGATATTTTGTATAAGTCCTAAACGGATAACCGTCAGTGGCACTCTAAATGTCGTTTGTTTCGATAAGGTAAATATTCAAATAAGATCGTTTATACAATGGAAGTTATGCACTATTGAAACAATAATTCTTAAGATGTTGCTGTTGGAAAATGAAAAATAACGATAAAAGGACCAATAAAAAAATGTTTGTTATTAAAGTATCCTAAATATCACAGGGCAAATGATGCCAAACATCAGGTAGGGATTTTTTGATGAAATTGTTAAGTAACAGGTTTTTATCTTAATGCGATTAATCATAACTTCGTATTTTTAAACCCTAATATAGAATAACCTGTGATATTGATATTTGTAAAAAAAAGAATAAAAATTAAATTGCAAACACGTTAACTAAATCCAAACTCAGCTGTAATAAAACTCTGTCAAATCTGATAACAAAAGAAAGATTAACACTGAGACGCCTAAAACAAAGAGAATAAGACCAGGTGTCCTGAAGGAACAAGCAGCGTCTGTTTCATCGACGACATCAGCCATGTAAATCTTGGTTAATTCATGTAGATAAAGACAGATTCCTTAATGAGAACAAGGTATACAACAGCGTGATATTTCATTTTTTTCTGAATAGCTCCAATGACAATCAGGACAAAATCGTAAAATCAAATTAAACTGAACAATTTATCGTTTGACTTACTAGCAGGATAGTATTGTACGCTGAACAATGATAAGAACTGGTACAGATGCCTTGTGAACAATAGATTTGTACCCGTTGTTATTGTTATGATCAGCATTTGAGAACCTGACATTTTTTGCTTTAAATGGCCAAGGTTTACATGGTGGGTGCCGTGGACGGAAAAAATCGCTTACTCTTCCGAGACACCATGTCTTATTCTCCTTGTACTCGTTTTCTTTTGTTTTTGTTTTTAGTATTCCTTGTGGTGATTATATTTTTTAAAATTTTCTGTTTTGCATTTTCTCATGTCTCCAAAAGACTGGTACAATAACAGAGGATGGACTTGATATGAAAAGTGTGGTACCAGCCACAGATGGCAAGTAAGTGTATATTTTGTAAATAACCAGAATAAATGATTAATATCTTGAAGATAAAATTACTCTTGTAATTACAATGTATTCAGTTCTGTTTGACCCATAACACCAACTATAAACACTTCTCATTAAAAAGGTGATAGTCATTAATGATAGTTAATTCATATGATATAAAACTCATTTTTACCATATTTTGAAATGCATAAATAAAATCTACGTTCCGAAACCGCAAATTACATGTAAAATGGTATTCTATCTTGGAGACATAGGTTAGATTTTATTTTTAATGATTATAATATTTGTTAGGTATTTACATATGCAGAAGATTGTACAAAAGACAAGCAAGTAAATACCACTTTTTAATTCAAATTTAAAATTAGATAAATTAGCCAAAAGTCTTGATTCTTGTAATTCGTACATAAATAACTTACATATAGTAACATGACGTTTGACAAACTTACTGAATATAAAGAATCTCATTTTTCTAATCACAGTACTTACTGCTCTCTCTGTATTACCTGATATATTGTATTAGTGGTTTTCAATCAATCAACCAACCAACCAACCAATCAATCAATCAATCAGTTAATAAAGAATTTCCAACTACTTACTTTATTTTACTCTCCTGACACTTTAACCTATCGTTGTTATTTGCCACAGATTTTCAGGAGAAATAACCGCGATATCTACACTGACAAGGAGTCCCATCATGGCTGCTATGACTACCTGTCATTCCTTGACAATAATTGATAACCAGTTGTGTGGTGATCCTATGGACCTGATAATGTTCGGCGCAACTAAATGGGTAAGACTTCATATCAAATTCCAAAGCCTGTAGTCTAGGTATATGTATATAGTGTAGTATAGTGTAGATCAGTAGCATTTTGTTTTTGGTTTTCCTTTCTTTGTTATTGTATCATAATTCGATGTCTTAGTATGTGTACATTTTGTAAAAGGTTATCAAATGAATAACCCTTTTCACTAGAAAGTCAGTCATATTTATATTATAAACAGAACAGTCACTTGTTTAAAACCAACAACGCTTTTTAATATTTTAAAATGATACAGTTAAATACACGGTGTTTTTTTTTTGTGATAAAATATCAAAACGAGTACCAAAACCCAATCCGGTTTAATTTACTACTTAGAATGATACCGAGAGAAATTTTGTTCATAGGAACTTGTGGAACCGGGACAAGAGGAGACAAGGTTCGATCAGATGGCTCCAACCATTGTCAAACCTGTTGCTGCCATCAATAATATCTACAACGATTCTTTCGACTCAAACTTTCAGGTATTTATATCAAAGTCATTTGAACACATTTGCATAGAGAAAATTGTTGGTCGAATAAATCTAGATGTCCTGCGAGTCCCAATGGATCGGATCCATTTTGATATCACAAACATAGATGATAGACATAAACGGTAATGTAAGGTTTGGCAAAATGACAGCCTTTGGTAAGTAATTCTAGAGATTTTACAGTTGATACGGGGTGCATGGAAATAGTTGCAAATTGGTAACACCGACTGACAATCCTATTTGGCAATCGCTTGCAAACGTTAGTGATGGGAATCGAATGAGATTTTTAGAATAGCAATTATATTTTCGGATATCGTCGTAGCCAAGCACTAACAAATATATGTAGGTTAACTTTAAGAAAAGTTTGGTAGGTGTATTTTGTTATTAGTTTTGCTCGTACCTTTGTATAGCTTTTAACTGATTGTCGTATATGTGGTCGTTATACCGACAGTTGCCCGTTGAAGAGATTGGCGTGATCAGACAGTTTACATTTTCATCGACACTACAACGAATGTCTGTCATTACTCGCAAGTTGGGGGACAGTCACTTTGAACTCTACATGAAAGGAGCTCCAGAAAAAGTCATTACTCTTTGCAAATCAGACACCGGTAAGGAAACATTCTAAGACTATTTACTTCTACTGAAACATGTTGAGTGTTATTCAATGTTGTTGTTGTATTTCTTAGGACTCAAAGGTGTCTTTCTTATGTTCCAAAGGCTCATTGATGTGCTCCACTGAATTGATAATTTGATTTTCGTTTTGTCTTTGGGTGCTAAAGTATCTTATTCTTTTACTTTCCGTATCTATGTCTTGTGGAGTCATGGAAAAAATGTTATTTTTGAATAACAATAATTTGGTAACTTGAAGCCAATAGGCAAATTTCAAATTTTGTTGATAGCAAAGTTCTACATCTTCTTGCCAGGGTCAATCCTTTTGAAACTGTCTCTTTCTATTCTTTAAACTTGTTTAAATACATTATTTGTAAATCAATTAAGATGGCTGAATCCATTAGCATCATTTATTTTTTAAAAACAATAAATCTTATCAACAACTGATTATATTTAATTTATCATGCGATATTTCCTCTGATGCATTATCTTGAGGTCTGTCGATAAGCAATTTCAGTAGGTGATATGACATGATTCCATGTGACATATTCATACATTAATATCTTGCAAAAAAAATCATTGTCAATGAAAAACAACAACATAAATATTAACAAAAATTATTGTTTGCTAAGTTGTTTTTCAAGCAGAAGAAATGCACCAAGCTTTGCACACATCGCTAAACTCCTTTATGCCAGTATGTTATTCAAACACGCTCCATTTTACTTGTTGTTCTATAGTGCCAATTGACTTCCACGAAGTGTTAACACAGTATACACGACGTGGACTACGAGTGCTGGCCCTGGCATGGCGACCGCTTCCCGGGAAACTTAAATACACAAAAATTCAGCGGATACAAAGGTTCGTTCACTTCCTAAATCAGCTTTTGTAGAGAGGTTGTATGCTGTTGTGGATTCTAAAATTAGAGCTGTCCTTATAGCAAACGATGAATAAAAACAATCAAATGAATCAAATACCTGTCACAGAATGTTTGATATTTGGAAATAATCAGGATGTTTTGATTCAAGAAAAAAAATCAATACATCTACATTTCCCGTCCGACCATTATTTACATTATTGTGTTAATCTTATGGATAGCATTGATCAGAAATCAATCGATTGGAGTATAAGATTAATTGTGGGCAATAGAATATCCTGTAATTATGCGTCATCATACATGTACATAGTATGTATACTAATTGACAAGAAAACGCCTTTTTCATGACTTCCGCTTATGTTCCGGGATTTGTCATTTTATGTATCTCACATTCGTACTTTCCATCAATGTTATTTTCACCAGAGAACAAGTGGAGAAAGATTTACGATTTATCGGTCTAATGGTGATGGAAAACAGACTGAAGCCTTCCTCCAGCCCGGTCATTCACCAGCTAAAAGAGGCACACGTTCGTCCCGTGATGGTAACGGGAGACAACATGCTGACCGCTCTGAGTGTGGCAAGAGAGTGTGGAATGATTGACCACAAAGACAATGTGATTCTTGTTCAGGCTTACCCAGCACAGGAATGGTCTAACGCATCATTGGAGTACATCTACACAGACATAAAGGACCCTGAGGACTTGGATCTCATAACATTATCGGGAGGGGTGAGGCGTGAAAAATTGATATGTTATTTCGATAAACATCAAACTGGGGAATATAGTGCATTTTAAAAGCAATAAATCGACGATTGAGATTATTGCGAACTCCTCTACAAAATACTTGTATAAATGAACATGTAAAATGAAGATGGGCTGAGTAACACGGTGTTATTTAATACCTGAAATGTGAACAAATGTAGGTCAAAGGTCACATAGAGAAAAAGTACCAGCGTAAAGGTATAGATACAAGAAGCACACATGCCAAATATGAAAGCACTACCTCCTACGGTGCAATAGCTATGGGCAAGATTAAAGTTGACAACACACAACATACAGCATAAAACCAATATGCCCCCTATCATTCTATCCGGGACGGTTTATAACTGAACTGCTAATCATACACTTATATTGTCAAATTTGATATTATTGTCTTCACTGGAATTAAAAACATTGAAGTAAAAGGTATGCCCAAACTTGTTCCGTCTATCTTCACCGATTTAGAGATTGTAGACAACAGTTGTTCTTAAGAAATTGTCCTTATTGGGGACATAAAATATCCAAAAGTGCGTCCAACTGTTGAATCAGTCTCCGGCGGTCGCCTCAGTTGAAATGCGTAATTTCTCGTAATTTGAATATAAGTACATGTATAAAATTCAAAGGAAATTCCCCCATAGATTGATGTTACATATCAAGTATCGTTATTTTTTGCGATTGTATTTAGGAGTGTTAAGTTATAAGTTACACTTAAAATTAATCTGTCCTGCTGCATATTACACATTATACGGAGAGAGGTCCGATTCTATTCAATCAATCTGAATTAAACTTGTGGATATATGCAATATTCTGTTTCAGATAACGGTTGAGATTGTCGTGATTGTCAAACTGCCGAAGTTATATCATCAAGCGATTTTACTGTTTTTATATAATATTTTTGGTAGTTCTGGGTATTCTGGAAGGTTTACCATTGTTGGATGATCCAGTGGTTTAACATGCAGTACATAGCCATGATCACAAGGATTCCGACCAGTCGTGCTAACCAGACGACTTACAATATTTAAAACACTCAATAATCATGTATAAAGTATATCATTTCCTTGATATCATGAAACGTACATTTTTGTTATTTATTTGTTACTTAATGTTTTTGTGTATTGCTGAAGTAATACTGGTTACATGTTATTGTTTTTACAGAGAATAGGGAACATAGATATTTCAGAAAAGTTTAATGAAGTGAATGCCAGATATCACTTAGCGACTGACGGGCGGTCATGGGCTGTAATACGAAAATTCTTTCCGGATATAATCCCAAAAGTAGGTAAATCGACTAGTTAATATATATTCCATATTGATATATAAGTATATGATACCAGTATTATTCTTTAAATCTCTCATGATTTAAACAATATTAATCAATTAATTACCATGAAATATTAATGCTTTTGGTCACAAGTCTCCTTGATATACCTAATGTTATTATTTACAGTTGGCAGTAAAAGGGACAGTGTTTGCGAGGATGTCACCAGACCAGAAAGCACAGCTGGTAGAAGAGCTTCAGGAATTAGAGTATGAATCATCTCCCTGTGAATGTACTTTTCTCAAACATATTTATACTTTATCATCAGATTGTCTGCTTAATATTTTACTTTTAATTCTAACAAAAGATTGTACCAAGACACACTAGCTTAAAAAAACAATATTCAGTACAGGGAGCCCAACACAACAGAACCAAATCATGAATGAAATTTTGATATGCAGCTGTTTCGTCCTTCTAGACTCGGAAGTAATGCTGAAATTTTAAAACTTAGGAGGCGACTGAGGAAAATCAAAGGTGATCGATAAAATGTTGAAATCCAGATGGGGAGGTGCACCAGCCCCCAAATTAGTAATTATCAAATATCTGATGACTTCCTTGACACGTTGAGGTCATTTGTTTATTCTGAACCGTGCCACAATTCGAATGAACTTGAATGTGGCATGCAGGTTAAGGCGAACCAACAGTGAGTACCACTCGCTATCTCGAAGACTGTACAAAAGCCATACAAGTGAATAGAACCAAAAGAATTGATAAACAAGGTTGAATCTAGTGTCTTACTTTTACCATTTGTTTTCATCACGTGATTAATTTTTAAACTCTTACACACAAAGTGAAAGTTGAAATCATTGCTGGCTCGTCTAGCTGTTTAACCAAACCTTTGACAAAACTACTATTTACCAATCTTAGCATTATCAAAAATGTAAGAATTGACTGTTCAATAATCGAAAGTGACAGAAATAAATGATACTTGTTAGTTACATACAGTTTGAATCACAAGTTTTAAGCCTAGAATAAATTGAATCCAATGAGTTTTTTAAGATAAATACAATATAATTTAACAAAGAATTGCATGCAAGTTATTTATAGATATTTATAAATTAATAAATTTGCGGCGAAGAATTGCCTCAACATTGCAAACACGTTTAATATGTTCTCTATGTTTTTGGAATATTTTAATGAATTCGGCACACTTATGTATGTGTTGCATGCCTATCACATAATAAATTTAATTATTTTTGAAGCAAAAAGCTCTCATTTAGCAAGCTTTCATATAGTTAATTTGACATCGTTACATTGCATTTAAATATTTACCGCTAGATCAGCTATGTACATTTGTTGCTAGGTAGTTATATCTATATGATGCTAGGTATTATGTCGGGATGTGTGGAGATGGAGCTAATGACTGTGGGGCCCTGAAGACAGCACATGCCGGCATATCTCTGTCAGAGGCGGAGGCATCTGTCGCGTCACCCTTCACGTCCAAGAACGCCAATATTGAGTGCGTTCCTACCCTTATAAGGTACGCGCTGATTAAGATGAAGGCATGAATACAGATATGATATAGACATAACTTACCCTATAGGTATATGTTTTACTTTAATATATTGTTATTCTTATCATGTACTTCAAAAGTAATTTGAAAGTGTGTGCTTGCTTTATAAGTATACAACGAAAGTGCAACAAATGGGACCTTGGTATTTTCTTTGCTTTCATATCGTCCTCTATCTTCCTGAGATTTTGTGTTCCTTTTAAAGCCCGTCCCGATGCGATATTGCGAGGGCGTTTATCAATGTAAAACTAAAAGAAATAGTGTTTAATTCTGATGATTTTAAAGATATTTATTATGGTGTAAATGATGAAATAGTAACATCATTCATTAGTGTGTTTATTATGCAGGGAAGGACGAGCCGCTTTGACGACATCATTTGGGATATTCAAATACATGTGTATGTACAGCTTGGTGATGTTTACTACCATCACTATGTTATACTGGGTAGGTAACACTTGTATTTACAATGTGTCGAAAAATGTCATATTTTGTCAGGATCAGAAACGTTTGAGCTCTGTCAGAACCAGTATCCTAACTCTCAGAACCAGTATCTTTACTGTTAGAATCAGTATCATTCCTGTCAGAACTAGCATCATTTCTGTATTAACCGGTATTATAACTGTAAGAGCCAGTATCATTTATGAAGGAGCTTGTATCATTACTGTCAGAACTAGTATAATTTATGTTGGAACTGGTATCATTACTGTCAGACAAGTATCATTTATGTAGGAACTGGTTTCATTACTGTCAGAACCAGTATCATTACTATCAGAACCGGTATCATTACTGTCAGAACCAGTATCATTACTATCAGAACCGGTATCATTACTGTCAGAACTAGTATCATTACTGCAGGAACCAGTATCATTTATGTAGGAACTGGTATCATTACTGTCAGAACCAGTATCATTACTATCAGAACCGGTATCATTACTGTCAGAACCAGTATCATTACTATCAGAACCGGTATCATTACTGTCAGAACTAGTATCATTACTGCAGGAACCAGTATCATTACTGTCAGAACCAGTATCATTACTATCAGAACCAGTATCATTACTGTCAGAACCAGTATCATTACTATCAGAACCGGTATCATTACTGTCAGAACCAGTATCATTACTATCAGAACCGGTATCATTACTGTCAGAACTAGTATCATTTTTGTAGGAACTGGTATCATTACTGTCAGAACTAGTATCATTACTGCAAGAACCAGTATCATTACTATCAGAACCAGTATCATTTCTGTAGTTCGATATTTTCATTACTTTCTGATAGCATTAAACAATGGCACAACTGACGGATGTTCAGTGGGGTCATGCCATTGCAATGATTATGCAAGGTCAAAGGCAAATACAGTGTCCATATTTACCATATAGAACGTCTTGTTAGATATCCTGTCTTTCATACCATAGGTATTCATACCCATCCTATCTATGCAAAAACTGTAAGGAAGCGATTGCAGGAAGTTGGTTTGCGGGCACGTCACTCGTATGTAGGTCTGTTCGATGCTCGTTTCCGGCATCGTATGTCTTAGTTGGCGGTGCATGCCCCCAGAATATTCTCATTGAGGCAGTGGAGGCGGGCCTTGTTTACTGATGAGACCTGGGGTGGATCAATTATGATGTGGGAAGAAATCTCACATGCCGCTAGGTAAAGAGATGAGATCCTCCGACACTATGATATCACATTATTGCAACAAAACAACCTCACTAAGAACAATATCCACCCTCTGGACTGGCCGCCAAACAGCCCCGACTTATCCCCTATTGACCACTTGTGGGACCAACTTAAGAGACACCAGCCTCCCCCGTTACTCTGCCCAAATGAGAGCATCCCTCACAGAAGAATGGGCCAATATCCCAATGAGAAAGATAAACTCCATCATGAACTTCATGCCGAGATGAATCAGGGCTGTGGAGAGAGCGAATGGGGACATGCCCGGTATTGACTAACCAGCTCCCACAATCAGTTCATTTCAATTTCAGATGACAGAGTTCTCTTTTTTTCAATTCCCTTCCATTACTCCCAAATTTTCAGTTTTTTTTTCTGTATGAATTAATCTTCATTTTTAATAAACAAAATATTGAACATTATCCTCGACGTCTTGCCTAGAACCATCTTCAAAGTTTACCCTACGTTTCTTTATCCCTTGAGTATATTTACAATATGTATATGATGTGTTTTATCCCACGCCAGGTGTATTTATTTGGTATTATCTCTACATATATTCTTTCATGACCTTCATGTGTGTTATCAGCAGTAACATGTATCGGATTTCCTTAAGTGATGTTATCAATCCTGTTTTACGATCGGTATCATGTATCAAGTAGATAACAATGAATAACAATGAGTCACTTTTACTTGTCATATCATTATAGCACTTTGGTTATAAATATTTTATATATGTTGTATAGTTTTTCATTAAAAATAAGTAATAAGTGTCGTGATATAATAATACTAATACAAAACGAATTTAATAATTTTCCAGAAAAATGCAAACCTATCAGACTTCCAGTTTCTCTTCATTGACCTGGTTCTCTTAACAACCCTTAGTGTGACCTGTGAGTAAAATCATACATGATATATGAAGTTGGTATTATATGTGTGGAGAATTGAGAACAAATAACATGTGTTTTATAAGATAAAATGTGTACTTGGTTTACGGCATGTCTTGTCAATATTACATACGATCGCACACTGATTAGACATTAAGTAAACGGTACTATGACGTAAAAAGTTTCACTTGATTGGATTAAATGAATGACTGGTTCACACTGTAAACACACTGGCATGTCCATTGTTTTAGTAAGTATTATTTGCCATTTACTGAAATCAGACGTTCCATGAAACAAAAGACGATTACTCTTCCGGAACACCTCGTCCAATTTTCCTACTTTTTCAGGAATTTTCGTGTAAATCTTTATTTTTCAATAGTTTACTCTACTTTTGTTGAATTTTAGTTTGGATGATTTTGTGTTCACATGGTGGTATTTTCTTGTTATGTTTCTCCTTTGGTACACTGTAGTAAAGTGTGTGGATTGCTGAAGTGGGTTAAACGTTTCGGTCTAAGACATTTGTTGACCCTATAACAGGATAAAATTTTAAACAAAACCTCATCTTTATTTTACAAAAACTGCAAATCAAGATATCACGCCTGTAATTCGGGTTGTGTGGACGCATGCGTGTCCACTACCAATGTGCCACTTGACCACCAAATAATGACATGAGAGGGGAATTATATATAGTATGATATTATATATCTAGCTTTAATCCTGCATATAACAAAATACAGTAAACTTATGTACAATAACTTCTAAAATTCTGTAACACGAGCAGGCCGAAATACCAGTTAAACAATTTGATATGATTAAGCTTCAATTTGACAGAAAGTAAATTGCCTGTCATCATGCATGTGATCGCACTGTCAAGTATTAGACAAGAATACAAAACAACCAAATACTTTCATTGATAAAATGATTAAAATGTGTGTCATATTAGAGGTTTACGATTCAGTAAAACCGATACTTGAATATGGAAGACACACTGTCTACTTTTATTTCAAAACCATCGAAAATGCTCTGTCATTTAAAAACTAGAAAGTGAAAGTATAGTTTACGAAAGACTTTTCTTTGATAGATTTAACAATATCATATATTTATTTGATCAATCATTATGGATTGACATTTAAGTACATGGATTACACTTTATCAATGGAGCTATTCACTTTAAGTCGCGAAATTCAAAACAAGAAAATGAAAATTATTTCAGCCATGCATAACTATTTTCGGAAGGTAGTTTACAGCGATTAAGATTAATTTGGAAACATTAATCTTTAAAACAATGTTGATGATCCGTTTGTTATTTCCATAGTGACAGATGGTAAATTTTATAAAATAATGTAGCTTCACATAAATTCATTTCAGTAATAAAAGAGAAAGTAATTATTGAAAGATATATATGTTTGACGTAGTACAGATTATAGCTTGAACTTTAATACTGCCAAGCTACCACACTTTTACCGATTTCCGGATAACAAGTTGGAGGCGTAGAATATCTTATTCAATACTATAATATTTTTATGATTCTTGTTTTATTGTGTTATGTATTAGCGATTAGCGGCAATGCAGTTTTGCGACCAGTCATTGTGTTAAAAATCAATTACATCCAAACAAATTTTGCGTCCGTGTCGTCCCTCCCCCCCCCCCCCCCAAAAAAAAAAAATAAAAAAATAAATGTTGTGAATATAATTGATATTCATAAGAAATTTATTCTTATTACAAGTTTAAACATGTCATGTTGCTATCATAGAATATACATATGCTTTATGTTTCTTTATCGTATATGGTATTGACAATACAGGAAAGCTTTAAGAAGGAGTTTATTCTTTATAATTTATATAATATTGATGAAGATACATTCGCAGGATGTAAAATTAAATAGCAATGTCTGTATTACATTGTGATAAAACTTAAAAATTATCACTAAATATCGACCTTTTTCTATCATACACAGTCAGCTGGACAGGGGCGTATTCTGAACTGGTACGGGAACCACCTCTTCTCAAGCTCGTTAGCATATCGCCTATATTATCAGTGTTTGGACAAACCGTGATTTCTATGAGTTTCCAAGTATTTGTGTACTTAAACATTAAGGAGCAGACCTGGTAAGTACCTTAAATGACATTTCTATTTATACTTCCGACCTTTTACAGGTAGGGGAGAGGTTGACAATACGTCTCATTCGAAATCAGCAGATTTGCTTCATATTTCTTCTTTGGTATCATAACATTGAGTTAAACATCTTGCAATATTCAGGTTGCCATCGGTCAAGGCTAAACAGTTAAAGCTCATGCTTGACAAGTTCTGTATACATGGATGCATGGACATTCACATCTTGCTAGCTTTCCAGCTTCCCATTTGACTTTTGTTTCTTCGATATCGATGGGTTTTTTTAAGCTAGTAAAATTAAACTGCATGTATTTTGTGCGGAAAGCAACTGAATCATATGTGTTTTTCGTTTTTCGTGTTCTTCTGTACATTTGTTTCGAATAAGTCTTAAACTGAGTTAATTTAACGACCATTAATATACTATGCCGGTTTCCTTTAGTGTGATAATAAGGGAATAACATTATAACGGGTACAGGATGTGGAACAGGACAATTGATCTCTCACGTCTCCTTCAGAAGGTTTCTTGATGTGTATGCTGGCTTCCATTTTGACTTAAAGCTCTGTCGGTTTTCAATGTGTAGTTGACAAGGATTTCCTTAATCAATGTAATTAATGCTGGTTTATCTGTTTTTAATTATCTACTAATATATTCCAGGTTCGTACCTTTCGTAGAAAATGAGGTGTGGGACTATAGATGTGAAGAAGTTACTGCCTTGTTTCTCGTGTCCACTTTTCAATACTTCTATCTCAGTATTGCGTTTTCCAAGGGACCCCCATACAGAAAATCAATATTTTCCAACTGTGAGTGTCTTCTGACATCTATTTCATTGTGCTTATATTGCTAGTTTGTGAATTTCCTACGAATACCATGAAAAAATGTGATTACGTGTGAACAAATCCTTCTCCTTTTTACCAGCTTTTCATAGATTTTAATGTAATCCTCTGATTTGAATATTTCAGTGTTAATTAAAAGAAGAAATCCTAAGTTTGTCTTGCATTTGATCATTCAGTATTGACAAATTACTGAAAAAATAGTCACCAACATGCTTTACCATGAATTATAAGATATCAATAGAACTGAAAACTTAATTATTTTTATTTACTTTAATGTATTAATTCACAGATCCTTTTATGGTGAATTTAGTAGTGTGTTTCGCAATGAATATCTGGTTTACGTTGTATCCAGGAGATGGTGCTGAGGATTTCATGGAGGTGAGTTAATGTTCATCACTCTTTAAAGAACCAATCGATGATGTATAACTCAAATTTGATAAAACTAGTTCAAAATGATAAAATGAGAAATACATCGAGACTAAGAACAGATGCAACAGACGAGAAAAGATCTCCTGTGTCAATGATGATACCCATCATGTCCAGGCGTGTACAAATCCAAACTAAAATTCCATAAAACCAATGCAAAATATGAGCAAAAGAATTATTTAAACGGAGACTCATTGAAAATACACAATTAGATTAAGACCAGTTGAACCGGAAGAGTAAGCGTCTTCTGCTTCATCGCCGACATCCGCCATGTAAACTTTGGTCAATCCAAATAACTAATGTCCCGGACTCAAACGAGAACAAGGGATACAACAACGGACACAACTAGCAAACATACGAGCATTAAACACGTCCAGCTTTGTATAACACAAAAAATAGAAATATTTCTCAACGAGATCACTATGTCGACCCCAAAAATGAATGCACCTCCCAATACCAATATATGGTTGGGTACAGGTTTTGATAAATAATGAACTAAATTGAATCAAACGGTTATTTTGTCATTTTGTCCCAAAATGTGGACATCTAGAAGGCGTGTTTATCAGGTAATTAATTCCGTGGATTTTCAATATACGATTATTTATATTGAACCTGTTTCTTCTTGTCAGCTCAAACCTCCCCCATTCCTCTATCGCCTTATTCTGCTGGGAATAACCATCGCCTATGGATTCGTATCTATATTGTTTGAGGTAAGTAAAATGTTTCACGAAATATACAAACCAGTAAACACATCAGTTTTAGAGGGTCTTAACATTTTAATTTAAAAGCATAAATACATTTTACTTACGAAAACTACTGATTTCGAATAAATTTCTTTACTGTTTGTCATTTCGTTTTCATATCAATTCGCTTAAGAGTATTCATATTAATCAACGAAAATACAACTATATAAAAATGTAGACAGTTGACAAAATTCCCTGTTATTTTTTCTTATCGGGGAACATTTATCATTATTCGGAGATATCCCTATTATAGGGGAAGAATAAATGTTTTGTTTCTATTTTTATTTCTATATTTAATACAGATGTATGTGATTGAGAGTCCCTATATCAACAATACACTACAAACCAAACTGGAGGAATTGTCCAGAGGCGCATCGTATAGATATCAAGAAGTTGAAAAAGACATTGAAGGGGATAGTTCATGGCCCCCAAAACAAACAAATCCTTCCAACCTTGTCGAAGCATTTGCTAGATTGGATGGTGCACACAATACACCTGATTTCGACCAAAACAGCCTTCTCAGTAGCCTTCTGTACTCGAGCAGTGGTTCATACAGGTCACATAGTCTTCATTCAACAGGTTCTCTACGATTCTCATCCGGTTCCTACACAGTTGGGAGAGATGAAGAGCACCTAATTGGTTCTATTGGTAAAGAGCAGGATGCAACGTCGATGGGCGCAATATTTCCATATCTGACTAAAATGGAGGACATTACCGTAAAACAGTTCGGAAACGTCGAAGGATTTATTAATGCTCTTCCGACAGATCCTACAATCTCACAAAACGAGCCGCCATATGATCAAGAATTTGTAAATGTTGACAATCGAACTAAAAACACGCAGTCATATGAAAGACATTTAAAAAATTCTGACATGGAAATTGACCCGCAAGAAAGAACAGCTTTTTTCATCGCAGATCAACATGTTATACCTCAGATAGAAATTGTCAAATCAGATTCTAAACCTGATATTGTAATGGGCAATGTTGACGACACTGTGCGAAATGAAGATAGTAATCACTTAAATGTTGTTACTAATGCTGACTGTGATTTACTGACAAGAAGACCAGTGGGTGATCTGAAGGAGTCTTCTTTACCTGCCGACAACAACATGTCTTCAGTGAAGATAGCTTTTGACAAGGACATTACGGAACAGCACATTCGAACAGATGATAATAACATACCACAGCCCTCCGATTACCTTTCATCAGGAACTACTGTAGATGTGAAAACTGACGTACTCCAAAGGCAAGAGTTTACCCAAAGTGAGCTTAGTATAGAGCAAACGAACCAACACATAGACAGACAAAGGGAAACTGACACATTATCTAAGTCTCATACGAAAGAAACAACTGAACTTCCTGTAGAACAAGTATCTATGCCGAGAGAAGAATCCACAATGAAAATGGAAAATACAACGCCCAACAATTCAGCACAAGAAACAAACGTTGATTATAACGACTGTAAAGAAGAGAGTGTTGCTAGCTCGCGACAGGAGTCAATTGACAACGAAAATCAGAACACTGCGATTAAAGAAGTACCTCATACTGAGGTTCCTTCATCAGAAACTTGCAGGACGATAGACAAACAAAACGACCCGGCCTGTGTTCTGTTAGCAACAGAACATAACTCAAATAAAGAGCTGGACAATTCTCGCCACACAGGTGACGATCTAACGAAACCTAGCAAAGGTTCAGATGAAGATCTCAATGGAGAGGACATCAAAACAGGTAGTCTCGAGAATAACGTCAAAGATATAGATACTACTCATTTATAGAAATAGTAACAGGAAATGGTGATAAGAACTGACTGATAATATAGAGATTATGTAAAACGAGAATTTTATGCACTTTATGTTCATGTGTCTTTGTTTTGAACTAAATATTATCATCAGACACTAAGGCGACGACTAAATACACAACGGATGTGACTCATAGAACATCCAATGTAGACATCTAAAGGGTTACAACCGTTAGGTAATATCCAGTGACTAGGTGAACTGGTATTAACCCTTAACAGTTCGAGTAACAATTCAAATGACTAAACCTTGTGCATCTTGACTCTAAATTCATTGTTCATATTTCCATTCTTAAGACGGGTATAACGTTTGATTGTTGATCTTGATTGCATATTTCTTTCTCCATACAATTAATCATTTACAATTTTTACTAATCCTTCGGGTTACTGATTTTTTGAGTAATTGTATGAATTTGTTCACATTATTAATCATGTTGTAAAACTTAATTTATAAGATACTAGATCTTTTATGAGTTACTAATGAGATTATATAACATATCTTAGGGGACGACATTAAAATGTAACTGAAAAAATATTTCGAAACTCATTTCCTGAAAATCTTGTACCAGGAAAAAGGATTGAATTGCACTTGTTTAAATTTGATAACGTTGTTCAAGTTTAGATACTTGGTTAGTGTGACATTATATAAAAAGTACACTATTATTTAATTTATCAGAGTTGAAAAAGTTCAACAGAGCAGTATTCTCAGGAAGAGTTTGATGAATTTGGTATTGCTTTAAGTTGAAATAATCGCCTATTTTGGTGTTATCAGTAACACATAATCCGATCTTAAAATTACTTTAAATCCTTTAAATACTTAGAAAACAAATGATAGGTACATATTTTCAAATGTCCCATATAACACTAAAAAAAAAAAAAAAAAAACCCAACTTTTCTTATGTTATTATGTGGCAAGGGAGACAATTATTTTATGCATCACTGAACTTCCACATTTTAACATATGTCGCATCATAGTTTGGTGGAAATATTGATGATTAATTGCTATAACAAAGGATAGTTCCAATGACACCTCTAACCCAAGAGTAGAACAGAAAGTCCAACACTGAGCAGTGGAGCACTAACTTGAAGTGATGTATAATCAGTTTATAATGGCGGTACGACGTGGAACATTGTATAATTCTCATTAAACATCTTGTTAACAATGGCTAATCGTCAGAAGTTAATAAATTGAACTATAAAATGTTGACGAAACACTTGCATGTAAATAAAATCAATATCTGAAAATTGTATCCTTTTAATTGTGCATGTTATTTCTCGCCTTTTTCTGTGGAGCAATCTAACGACACAGAGTCTGTTAAAAGTGACATTAATAGTAATTTATTCTAAAATTCTTACAGTATTTGGTGTTTTATGTAATAAATGGTTGATTACATGACATTATCATAGATCATTATCATCAGTCAGTGTTAGCCTTGCAATATAGATGAAATATAGCATTAGCGATTATTAGTAGGCTAGATATTGTGTCTTGCCATTACAGTTGTTTTCATCTATGTACATTTTATTTACTTGTCTGAAGATATATGATGCCTAACACTTGATAATAGTTTATAGTCATGCGTATTGTTCTCTTGGACATGCCTATGTAAAATTAAAATGAGACGTAATGATACTGGCGTTCGAGTTCTTTTGTGAATTTGATTTTGATTCTTTTAGTTACTTATTTTTCTATTCCTCTATATCTTACTTTTCTTATTTAATTTATTAACCAATTGATTTACTTATTTTGTTTCTTCATTTTTATTTTTTGTTGTTGTTGTTTTTTATTATTATTTTCTTGTTACGATTATTATTTTTGCCGTAAATAGATAAAATTCATCAAAATCTTATGTAACTTCTGGATCACTAGGTCTTACTATCATTGTGTCTATTCTGGGGTAACCGTGTATATCTTTCTTTCATTAATATTTTGCCCTCGTTTCATCGAATTTGAGGTTGCAGTAAGATTCAGCTGATATGTAGTTATCTTTGTTGTTGTTTCAGAAACAGAAAGTGTCCTGGGTTAAGACAGTTTGAAATATTATATTCGCAAAAGGTATTTCGTTATGAATGAGAAATAACAGTAGTAAAGTCATTGTATCACTATATTGTTTAAATGTCTCACGTGTGGACATGTAGGTTTCATAGCATTATCTTAATCGAAAAAAGATGTTCGATGTATTATTTGGTAAGTCAGTAGAAGGCTTTTAATCGTTCATGCAACATTTTTTCCATATTTATATCCGTAATTAAATAGTTTCATTTTTAATGATAATCATATCTATAGAGAATGCTATTTCGTCTTATAAACGTCGCTATCTTGATATCATACACGTTAAAACCTCGATATGATATAACACTTTATAAACGTCACTATATCGATATAATATATAGCAACGCCTCGATATTATATAACGTGTTATAAACGTGGCTATCTCGATATATTGAGCGTCAAACCCTCGATATGATATAACACCTTATGAACGTCACAATCTCGATAAAATAGACATTAAAACCTTGATATAATACATTACCTGACACACACAGAATCTCAACATATTATACGTTTTATGCACATCACAATCTTTATATTATACCCGTTTTATGTCATTTACTTTTCATTTATCAACCATCCAGATGTACACTATAAAACCTGGTACTAGAAACATGATAACATTTAATGGGGGAACTCAAAAGTGTTTAAAATGTGAAACCATCGTAGTCATGACAGGTATCCACTAGTGTCCTACCTGCAGGGAAGCTTGATCCTACCTATATGTGTGAGGTAAAGGACAAAAAAGGTATGGAAACACATACTTGTCACATGTTAAAACTTGATAACTCATTTGTTTATAGTTTTAGGTCTAACTTTCTTCATTTCTTTTATTCAAAATCTTCTAACAATATCTACTGATATTTTCATAAATTCCTTTTTGTTGTATTGAATGATTCACTCTTTTAATTTGGGATACTAAACACCTTGGAATATGACGGACGAAAATAAGATATAATAGAATACTATGTAACCTGTTTTGTAAACAGCGCGTGAATTCTTACTCAAAACCGATGAAACGAAGACAAAATAATGGTCCTAAGAAACATTAATAATGAAACCTTTAAATGTACAAAGACAGAAGTGCGAGAAGTTGATGCTACGATCTTACATTATTCCTAAGGACATAAAGATATATCATTTCTACTACAAAAAATATTTCAAAGCAAAATTAAGATAAAGAAGACATAAACAAGAGAAAAACATCTTTCATCACAAATTTAGAATTATATTTATATAGATTCATAAATCATTATCTCCCTTCTTGGACTCATTAGTGATGTTGATTAATGATTAATCCGATTGGTGTGTTTACGTCATCAAGCCTCATTCAGCGCAGTGTCGAGGTCATGAAAACAAAAAGATTGAACCATACACTGTTGACGTTTCAATATTCTGGTTTTAATAGATGTTGCAATAAAAGTAGAATATATAGTCAGTGTCTTCATTGCAATTTAGCTCCGTCAGAAAATCTACCTTTTTTTTTATTTCTTCATCCTTGCAAAAAACAGCTTACATTTAAATGCGTTGGTGATGTATTTCCTATGTAGTGTTTCTCCCCGCAATGTTGGAATATCATTGTACTGAAATCATGTCAGCCTTCAAACAACAAAGTCACGAAGACATCCACTAACTTAGGATTGTAGAATTTGTTCATCATCAAATATCTTCGAAATAAAAAAAAATAAAATAGTGTTATCAGACATATAATTTATTCATTACAGTGGAGTACAGATGTAAGAAAAGCAAAACAATTTTATTGATAACTGGAGTAAATTAAAACCAATGACTTGTCCACTGATCATTTTTATACAAGATTCCGAGTCCGGTATTTCATTATTTTGTATAATGATATAGACATTAGGGAAGCAATGAGTGGATGTAATGGGCACATTGAACTAGATCCTCTGTTGTTTTGTGACGTTGTAGTACCAGTTGTTGTTGTTGTTGTTGTTGTTGTTGTTGTTGTTGTTGTTGTTGTTGTAGGAACCGTAGTAGTTGTGGTTGCAATAGCAGTTGTTGAGTCTAAAACAGAAAACAGAATTTTACCAATACTTTATATCACGATATTTTTGTAGAAACTTTCTCTCGTAATGTAAACATATATATCTTTAAAAGATAAATCCAATCTGAATTACTAAATAACTAGTTCATCGGGATTATCATTCATCGCATGATTTTCAATATTCACTAAAGTAACGAAAAATTCCTCTCGAGCAACGCTTCCTGTTGAATAGTTTCTGTACATGTTGATGGTCTTGCTGTATATTAAACTTTAGCTGTGCTCTCAAAAAATAAAACATTACAATAGGCTTTTAATATTTCGAAAAGGAATCCGCAATTTTATGCAAATCCATTTGAATCAATCATGCATATATTTAGTTTTGTTGTGCAGTTTAAGAACAACCAGAATGATATGATGTGTCCATATTAGTGATCATGTGATGGTTTATATCGGAGGCTTGTTAGTTGAATTATGTTTCTTTGAAGCTTATCACAGCTTTACTAAGCATTGTTTAAGACAATGTTGACATAGAATGATTATATACATAATGATGTTTCAGGGGAATATTTACGACAGGGCTGTGACTTAATTGTTGGACCAAAAAATACGTCTAGAATATCTATGATAATTATGAATACAAAAAATTATCAATGATTTAGACAGCATTCAGATTCCCCTTTTCCCCGCAGAGAATTTTACCCCTAAATTTCATATTGTACCTTCTATTTTATAGATTCTGTAAACATTACAAAATACTTAACTCCGAACATTAAGCTACAATGCTCGAAGCTACAATGGTAATTACCAAAAAAGAACGAGAAAGATATCGAAGTCTTGTTGCTAATTATCTGCTTAATTTCATGATTTCATGAAAACATGAAAGATATCTGCACAAAACCATCTGTGGAAGTATGAATTATTC